TCTCGTGTGGGACTGGAAAGGGGAAGTGTTTTAAAGAGTGTGACATGCCCAGATACTGCAGGGGATGGAGACGCTGGTACCTCTGTCTGGGACAGGAGAGGACTGCAGGGCTCTAGCAACTGGAGGCTGATCCTAAAGCCACGTTCCCCTGTGTAACACAACACAGCTGCAGAAAGAGGAGGCAGTGGGGCTATAATGGTGAATTAGATCTTGTAACTCTGATGGCAGACTGACTGAGGGCTACTGTTGCCACTTGGTTTGTGGGTTTTGATCAGCAAGTTCATTCATATGGGATTCTGTACCACATAAATATATTTCTGTTTCTACACCTATTTTAGTCAACACCTATCTCATAGAGCCCCCCATGACTGGTGGCTGCCCTGTCCAGCAGCAGCAGCAGCTTACTGACCGAGGAGGGTTGTGGCAGGAGCCTGTCCCTCTGCCAGGAGAGGCAATGCAGGGACCTGGCACTCAGTCATGGGAGGCAGAGATGCTGAGCAGGCTGTAGCTGGGAGTCAGGGAAGAGCCAGCTGAGGGAAATGTGTGCTTCTTGTTGGATAAACAGGAACATTTAAAGAAAGAGAGATTAAAAAATGACGACCACGGCTCTGTCCCAGCCCAATCTATGTGCTGGCAAATGCTTGTGTGGTGTCCCTGCTGGGAACATTGGCAGCTACAAAAGCACAGTCTTGTTGCAGATCTGTGCCCTTCTGTTGGGAAAAAGTAACATACTGGCACAGATGGAGGTATGTGCCATTTTTAAACACTATAAAAGCTTAAACTTGGAGGAGGAGAGAAAGCACCCACAAGGTACAACTTTGTTCAGTGCTAAACGTGCACTTACTCTGGGCAAAAAGTAGATAAATGGTATTCTCACCTGAAAAGACAGCAGTTTTCTCCTACTTTAGGCTCTTTGATTTCAAAAGAAGTTGTTCTGAGTCCAGGCTTCAGCTCAGTTTGGAAGCTCAGTTTGGAAGCCATGCTCTGGGTGGCAGATGGCTAATACCTCCCCTTTGTGTGTGAGGCAGCTTGTGGAGGGCATTTCTGGCCACCTTCAGCATCCTTGGGCCTCCCTGACTCCATATAACCTGATAAATCCTGACAAATTGACCTGGAACAAGATAAAGAAAAGTTGTGCTGCTTGTAGACTTTTTTTCCTACCAATGGAAACAAGCAGAAGGCCCATTCCAATTTCTTGCCTTTTAAGCAGCTTGCTGAAATGAACTGCTTCATTTGTGAACTGCAGCACTGGGAGGTGGGCAGGGTTGCTCTGGTCTTCTCTTTCTGAGAGAAAGAAGAAACCAGGCCCAGTTTAGAAGCGTGATGAGAGTGAGCTGAGCCTGGATATGAGGAGAAAGTTGGTACTTCTGAAAAAACAGCTGTTGCATGCCTACCTTGAGTCTCCATGAGTGTGTGGTGATGAAGCTGTTAAGACACAAAAAAGGATGCCCACTATGTATTCAGTGAAGTACATGGTTGCCTTCTTCAAAGCTCTTCACAAACTTAACTATATTTAACTTTATCAAGGATTTGCACTTTTGATGACATAAGCATATAGGAATGAGTTGCATCAAACTCCGAATTAACATTTTTAAACATTTTGAAAACTGAAAGTCTTCCCTGTTGAAGAACAAGAACCATTCCAGCTGAGAGGTGCTAGAGGGAAGAGGCAGCTCTGGGAAAGTTGATGACATCCTTTCACTAAAACACCATTTCCCTTCTCTGCTGTGTCCCACAGCTGCTCTGTCTCTATTTTAAAATGTTGTTATGCTTATCATCTATCCTCTGTAACAGACAGAAAATTAAAAAGTATCTCAGTCTTTCAATTCATTTTTTAAGAAAGTGTCAAGTTCTTAACCTAATGTCCAATGCTAATTTCAAGGCAGTGGGACTGAAGGTTGTTACGAGATGCAGTTTGGCTTCTGCCAGGGCTTTGCCAGTCTTGGGCACAGAGATACTGCCATGGGCCCTCTGACATGTAGCCAAGCAGCTGGCAGGAATCGATCTGTCTGTCTGCTCCCAGACAGGTACCTCTTGGTGCAAGTGAGCAGCAGACTGTGACAATTTCTGTGCACAGAAAAAAAAAAAAAGAAAAAGAAAATGGCAGTAGGAAGGTAGGAAGGTTTGGTGCTTGAATTTAATGGGCTTTCCTTTCAGAGCTGATAAGACCCTCTTCCCCTTCCTGCATGCAGTGTGCTTGGCTATTTGACCAGCTGCAGGTTTCCGTTCAGTCAGGCTAAAATAAATATCATCAAACCTCCACTCTCAAAATTCCCATGGATGTTTACAGAGGGATGCTTTCTTTCAAACTATGTCTTCTTTTTCAGACATAATACTTTTCCCATTCTTATGCATTTTCTATTTGTTGATAACATATGACTGTGATGTCCTAGGAAATGAAAAGATGCTAAGTGTTTCTCTAGTACTCTCTTTGACTAAAAAATTTGATTTTACAACAAATTATATTAATATAATATGTATGTATCAATCCATATATAGATAACATTTTACAGAACCTACACAGCAAAATAACTTTGCTGTGTGGAGATGTTCCGTTGCTCAGTACAGTTAAGACCCCCCCCAATGTGTACCAAGTAATAAGCATCAAAAGTGGAGATACAGGGAGGTGAATGCAGTTCTGCCTAGGAACTATTTCTGCACTTAACGCTGAAGGAAGTGATTGTGAAATAATGACTTGCGCAAAATGGTTGCATCAGCCTTTCCAGCAATGGGCAATGACTGAGAAAAGGAGAGAGACCTATCACTGAATCTCAGCCTGCGAAGAAGAGAGTGCAAACATGATCTATGCTCATTTTGGTGTCCCCTGTCAGCAGCAGCAATAGAAGTGGTGAAAATGTGAGTTTGAAGGGCAGTCTCATGCGTGCTGGACAATACTGAACTCTTCAGAAGCCATGATTTCCTTAGGGGAGCAGCCACTAAAGAAAAGCTGTGCAAACTGGTATGCTTCACTGGCTCAGTAGTTAGAGGACATTGGAAAACTGTCAACAGAAAGTTTTGTTTAAGGAGCACCAGCTGAAATGTTTTCTTACTCCAGGACTGTCGTTGCATCAGACCTGCCAAAGGGTTTCAAACCTTTGTTGTACTTGCAGGTATGAAGTGACCACTTGGATCCCAGAATACATGGTCAGCACACAAGGAGACTGAAACACAGCATTGCAGTACACAAGGTAAGTATTTACTCTCTGCATATTCAGGATTTGGGAATAGTGTTTGTCTGCAGTACTGGAGCTGTTTATAGCAGCTTGTGAGCTTTAATAAGTGCCTTATTTTCTGGTGTAGCCAATGGTGAAATGTTCTTTGGCATCTGTGGCAGGAAACCCTTCTGTAAATTAAAATCAGTATTGTTCTAACATCCACTGTTTAGGGTGATGGTAACATCTAATTCCCATCTGTTACCAGTGTTGATTTACAGAAAAGGGCGATAGACTTGTTTGGTTGCATATCAGCTTGTTCTGCCTTTCCAGTAAGGAATGTAAATTGCTCACAAAGTGTACAAAAGGGTGTGCCAGGAGCCTACACAGCTCTGCTTTTTAGAAGCCCTGAGGCTGGTGAGACTCCATGCAGGGGATCCCAAAATCTGTTTTGAGAAAGTTTGCTGTGTCAGAACCACAGCCCACTCGAAGGGCTGAGAGGATGGTCATACTCTGTTCAGGCTTCTGCCTCATGGGTAGCCATACTAGAGCATAGAATCACAGAATTGCCTAGATTGGAAAAGACCTTTAAGATCCTTTAAGAGTCCAATCATTAACCTATCACTAACAGGTCCTCAACTAAACTATGTCCCTAAGCACTATGTCTACACGACTCTTAAATACCTCCAGGGATGGTGACTCCACCACTGCCCTGGGCAGCCTGTTCCAGTGCTTGACAATTTTGGTGAAGAAATTTTTCCTAATATCCAGTCTAAACCTCCCTAGAGCAACTTGAGAACATTTCCTCTTGTTCTACTGCTTGTTACTTGGGAGAAGAGACCAAGACCCACCTCACTACCACCTCCTTTCAGGTAGTTGTAGAGAGCGATAAGGTCTCCCCTCAGCCTCCTTTTCTCCAGGTTAACCCCAGTTCCCTCAGCCACTCCTCGTAAGACTTGTGGTCCAGACTCTTCATCAGCTTTGTTGCTCTTCTTTGGATGCTCTCCAGCACCTCAATGTCCTTCTTGTGGTGAGGGGCCCAAAACTGAACACAGTACTCAAGGTGCAGCCTCACCAGTGCAGAGGGTACAGGGGGACAATCACCTACCTAGTCCTGCTGGTCACACTGTTTCTGATACAGGCCAGGATGCCATTGGCCTTCTTGGCCACCTGGGCACACTGCTGGCTCCTATTCAGTTGGCTGTTGACCAGCACCCCCAGGTCCTTTTCCACCAGGCAGCTTTCCAACCACTCTTCCCCAAGCCTGTAGTATTTCTTCAGGTTGTTGTGACCCAAGTGCAGGACCCAGCACTCAGCCTTGTTGAACCTCATACAGCTGGCCTTGGCCCATCTCTCCAGCCTGTCCAGATCCCTCTGTAGAGCCTTCCTACCCTCAAGCACATCAACACTCCTGCCCAACTAGGTGTCATCTGCAAATTTGATGAGGGTGCACTCGATCCCTTTGTCCAGAGCACAGATGATCTAACCATCTTCCCCTGTTTAGGGTTGAAACATCCAGACATAGCTTCGTTGCTGAGAGGAGGCATAATGAGAGAGATGTAAGAGTTGAGATCCATAGCCAATGCACGTATGAAAAAGCAGGATGTTGAGCATGTTCCTTTTTGAAGGTTGAGACATGATATGGCTGTACTCCAGAGATGAGTAGCACTCCATGTTTGCAGCACTGAGCAGCTGAAGTAGGAGCAGAAGACTAATGTCACAGAATAACTCTTACAAGAAAGAATTTGAATCTGAAATTCCTAATAAAATTGCATGGGTTTTCCATTGTTTTCAGTTACTGTTCAAAACTAAAACCCAATACTACCTTCTCTCCTCTCTGTCTCCTACAGCAAAATGTTCAACCAAACAAAACATAAATCAAGAACTACACACACCTGGCGAATGTGGAGCATCTACGTGGTTTTAGCTGTAAACCTCTCCGAACAGCAAGTGCTGAAGCAGGCTTGTCCTTCATGCAGTGCCACTCAGCTTTGCAACTGCTCTTCCATGGGTTTAGACTTCATTCCCCCAGGGCTCACGGGCAAAATCACAGTGTTAAACCTGGCCTACAACAGGATAAAGGCCATCCGATCCCAGGATCTGCAGCAGGCTGTGAACCTGAGAGCCCTGCTGCTGCAGTCCAATGAAATCAGCTCAATAGACGAGAACTCATTTCACTCCCTTGGGAAACTAGAGCTCTTGGACTTATCAAATAACAGCTTGGCTCACTTGTCCCCTGTGTGGTTTGGGCACCTTTTTTCTCTCCAGCACCTCCACCTTCAAGGGAACACCTACAGAGACCTGGGGGAAAGCTCCCCCTTTTCTAACCTGAGGAACCTGAGCTCTCTCCACCTGGGCAACCCACAGTTCTCCACCATAAGACAAGGCAACTTTGAGGGCATTGGAGTTCTTGACAAGTTGTGGATTGATGGTGGCAATCTCAGTCAATATGAGCCAGGAAGTTTGAAACCAATTAAGAAGATAAATCACATGATCTTAAACCTAAAAAATTCTAATACATTCTCAGCAATTGTCAGGGACATTCTGCACTCTGTCATTTGGTTAGAGGTGAGAGAAATCAAATTAGAGATTGAAAAAAAAAGCTTGGTACAGAACTCTACACTTCCTTTTAGGATACAAAAACTTACATTTAAAGATGCTTCATTCACAGATCAGTATATTAGCAGAATACTAGTATTACTGAAGGAAATCACATCTTTGCAAGAGTTAGAGGCAATTGATTGTGTGCTTGAGGGGAAAGGAGAATGGAATACTAGAGAAATTGCAAGCAGTGGGCAAAGTTTTGTTGAAACAGTATCAATAATAAATATAATTATTCCAAATTTTCACTTGTTTTTTGACCTGGATGGTATGGGGTCGCAAATAAAAAACCTGAAAAGACTCACCATTGCAAGCTCCAGAGTTTTCATGGTACCATGCAACCTTGCAAGACATTTTTCGTCACTTCTATATCTAGACTTTAATGATAATTTGCTTGTAAATATTCGCTTGGATGAGACAATCTGTGAAGATGCTTGGCCTTCATTGCAAACTTTAAATCTAAGTCAAAACTCTCTACAATCTCTAAAAAAGACTGCAAATTCTGTAACTCGTCTACCCAAACTGATTAATCTTGACATTAGCCAAAATAATTTTGGTGAGATTC